CCCACCTATTCAAAAAAGAAAGCTGTGAAAGACAGCAGCCAAGAGTTGAGATCATGTGGACAAGGGAGCCGTGATATTTCAAGGATCCCTTATTCTGGAGACAGCCAATGGAGAAGACTGTGTTCACCACTGACATAATGGAATATGATAAACTGAATTCACATTAAGCCTAGTTAGGGTTGAAAAGTCAGGAAAATATCAGCATGCTATAATTTTATTAAGATGATGTTGAAGTAAAAAGAAAACGGTACAGAGTTTAAGCATAGAAGTTTCTGGTTCTTAGGGAATAAGGTGCAGATTATCAAGGGGTGCAAACACACGTGTGTTAGCTTCATCCTGTGCCTCAGCACTTCCGAGCCTTTCCGTCTGGTACCTGTCACACTGTTTTGTCTGTTTCTTTTAATTTCCAGTAGGAGCATAACTTCTAATGAGCGTCAGTAATAGTGTCTTGAAAGTTAGATGTGTAAACGAGAGCTATAGTTCTGAGTCACGGACAGAGCAACTGTTCTTTGTATGGGACATTCTCTGGTCCTCTAAAGATATGCTGTGCAGGATCTCTGGTGTACAGTAGATATGGGAGCTATAAGGTTGTGCTTTTGGGCAGAAAAAGAGAGGGCATATAGTGTTAGGTGGCTTAACTTTTCATTTCCGCGCTTTGATGATTTGTTGTTTTTGTCACGTGGCTCGTGTGTGGCAACTTGAACCATTTCACAATTGAGTTTTTGTGTATTAGTTTCCCGCATGTTTTTTTTCCCCATTAAAGTGTTTAAGCAGCCAAATGGGGGTGGAACTCCGTGGAGGTAATTTCTGGATCTGTGTCACAGAAGCGCAGCCATAGGTGCTGCCACAGCCCGTGGCTTGAAGTGGTTTCCATCGTATACAGGGTTTACCGTTTGGGTCAATGGCTCTCAGCCCCCCAAGTGCAGTTGCGGAAGTGAAGATTTTATCTGCTAGAGAAGTACAGCTGCTGACAGATTTTATATCCAGCCGGACAGATACAACTTTTTCTATCAAGAACTGCACATAAACCCTTATTTGTAGGATAAAATCTGATAAAACTATAGCTGCAGGCAGAAGAGATTTTATCCTACAGAGAAGATTTTATCCAACAGAGAGAATGTGCCTTGGCTACTGTTTGTTCATTAGTTGTCACATATGTTGAATAAGAACAAAAAATGACCCTTAGTCCTAAAAAAATTGTTTTCAAAAACTATCCAGCACATCGCACATACTGAACTTTTTCACCTCTTTACCAATACCTTTGCAGATACAGTGTTTGTTTTAAAGATACACACTGGCAGAAGACTGCCACAGGCAAACTTCAAGAACGGATCAACTTCAAGCACTTCCTATTAAAAAATTATAAAAAGAATCTAAACAACAATTGCATAGAAAATTCAGATAGCATAGAATCTAGCACCATTTCATACTGAAAAGCTACATATGTATAGAGGAAACCAAGAAATTATGCCTCATTTTAAGCCCATCTCAGATTGCAACTTTAACTATGGAAGATCAACGAGTGTCTCTGTTATAACTTTGTTGATTATAAGTGTAACATTTTCAAATACAGTAACAAAAAAATTCAAAATGTAAAGGAAATACAAGAAAAAAACAATTAAAATACAATTTACAATCCAAAATATTAAATCGAATTAGATTTCTTTACACATTTAAATCCAAGTCTTTGTTAGCTGAGAGTTTCCATTTGGTGCTGCTTGAAAACAAGGGGTTTGTTCATTCAACCCATTGTATGAGGGCCACATACTACATCAAAATAATCAGCAAAAAATGGATCACAGTAGCCAACCATAATGACTCAATGGAGTGAACACAACTCCATTTTTATGTCTTGCAGAAAATTATAGCCAGCACACATCCTATTCTTTCTTTAATACAGGATCACTCATTCATGTGGCTTCTTTGCAAGATGTCCAGGAGACAGATTCACAGAGCTGTCTTCAGTGACTCTGAAGTTAACTCATGTCACCAGTCTGTTTAATAGGAAGAACATGAGTATATTGTGCTTGGACCATAATCTATTTAAACACATCAGTGCCCATGCTTTTTAAGGAGATATTGGAGCCATATCTGTTGTTGTGGTAGAGGTGGATTATTGTGGATTTACTTATTTACTTATATTGCAATACAGCACCCAGAGGCACCAGTCAAGACTGCAGCCCCATTGTACTGCAAAACTGCATAGGACGACATGGACCCTGTCTCAAAGAGTGTTAACTCTAATTTAAGACCAGACACAAAAATGAGTGCGTGTAACAAATAGGGAGTAGAGGAAGATAGAACAAGAGTAACAATGAGAGGAACACATGGTTACATAGAGTAGCTATGTGCATAGTTTGATGGTGCCAAGTCATCTGATGTATGTTTGTTGGGGTGGTGGCTTTCCCCCTGATCCTGTACAGCCACTTCTGGAAAACACCAAACAAATTTGATGAAGGCGGTATGAATTGTGTTTGGATAGCCCTGTGAAAATGTGACCGTGATGACTGTGTGTGCAACTCCCATTAACCTTAATACGTGAGACGTTGCTGAGTTGAGAAGAGACCTTCATAGCTACAAGAGTTGCATTAGGGTACTCCAGGGTGTTTTATTGGTCGATTAATACGTACCTCAGGTCGTGTAGGCAGTCTGCCATATTCTTTCAACTGTCTGACACTTCTATTAGTGGACCAATAATACACCCCCTGGAATGTCTTAATGCTATTAAAATGTGGCTTGGTAATTTTAAATCATAGAATCATAGAATATCAGAGTTGGAAGGGACCTCAGGAGATCATCTTGTCCAACCCCCTGCTCAAAGCAGGACCAATCCTCAATTTTTGCCCCAGATCCCTAAATGGCCCCCTCAAGGATTGAACTCACAACCCTGGGTTTAGCAGGCCAATGCTCAAACCACTGAGCTATCCCTCCCCCCCTAATGCATTTGTAAACCTCATTTTTGTGATGAGTTTCCTTTTATAACATATCCTTCCACTCCAGAAAATAGCTCTTAGGGAAGGAGAGGAAGAAATAATGGAAAATACTGATGGCAAGAATCTCCTTCTCTATTTATAATTTTGGGGAACATTGTTTTTGAATGTTTCCCCCCCCTTTTTATGCGTACAGATTGATTTCCTTAGTCACGATTTTCAAAAATGGGTGCCTAAAGTTAGATTCCTAAGTCCATATTTATGCACCTAAATAAGTGGTCCAATTTCCAAATGCCCTGAACATCCAGCAGGTCCAACTGAAGTCAGAGAGCCAGATGCACAGCATTTCAGAAAATCCAACACATATTAGATGATGAAATAGGACCTTAAGAGTTTGAGTTTAGGCACCCATTTTGAAAGTCTTGGGCCCTGTATTCCCATCTCTTTGTTCACCCTTCACACTTCCTCCAAAAAGCAGAGATAATTTTACAGGTACTGTTTCGCTCTTCAGGCACATACCCCATGGCTGGGGTCACCATCCCTTTCAAGGTGACCAGACTGCTTTCTTAATGCAGTTTTGAAGACCCAATTTTACAGGGTGTTGTGAACCTCAAGTGAGCTGCTGAGAGTTCTTGATTCTCATTCATTCAATGTAAATTGAGGGCAATTGGCAACATTCAGAACAAGGACCATTGCAAAGTAGCAAAGTATTTCCTTCCCAAACCCAACCCTTGAGAGACACTTGTGGCTGAGGTAGCAATCACCATGTCTTCCTCCAATTTCATAACGTTGCAAGCAGCTGGACTGCCATTTAATTTAACTTTTGATAAGCGAAACTGGGAGCAATGCCAGTTCGATGGCGCTACTTACGTGTTTAATGTTATACCATGCGGAGCCTTAAATGCTTCCTAAAAACGAACACCTGCTGTGTGAGCCGCCAGTGAGTTAATTCAAAAAGCAAACCAAAATGGAACCATGGGTTGCCCATAGTGATAACTGTATTATCGTATTGCTGTTGCAGCTCTCCTTCCTACTCACGTCAGGCACACGGTTCGTCACTCTCTGATAACTTGTGTACTGTAAATTAGATCATAAAGTCTTCAGGGTAGGGAATTTGCGTATGCTCTGGTAAAGTGTTGAATACACTGTAGGGTATCGTAGACTTAATAAGTAATAACAGTGGGACTAATGTGCTTAAACTTAAATGTGTGCATAAGTGCTTTGCTGGATCAGGGCCTGTATGTTGAGATATATATGATATGACATATGATGAGAGAGATGATGTGGTGAAGGCATTGGCCTGGGTCTCAGGAGATCTCAGTTCAATTCCGAGCTCTACCAACACTTCCGTGTTACCTTGGGCATGTCATTTGACCTCTTCAGTTCCCCATTTATAGAACAGGGATAATTCTTCCCTTCTCCTGCCCATCATCTGTCTCAGCGGTTCTCAAAATGTGGCCCATGGTCCACATGCAGCCCAATTAGCAAACAGCTGCAGCCCAGCTCTGTGCTAAAAAAATATTCAAAATTTGCCACTCTGGTCTGGCAGGGGGCAGGGCTGGCTGAGGGGGAGACAGCGTCTTGCAGCCTGCACCAGCGTTCCTGCCAGCAGGAGGCTGGTGAGTGCCGCAGTGGGACACGGGGTGGTAGAGTGGGTCTTTGGGTAGGTTTGGTGGGGGGCTCTGGAAACCAGGGGGTTTGCCCCATTTTTTAGGTGGGGCTCCACTCCTGGCCCCTCTTCTCAGGTCCTGGCTGCCAACCCCGCTGGGTGCTCCGCTCCTGGCTCAGTGCTCAGGGTCCTGGCCGCTGCCCAGCCCCACGCAGCCGTATTTGGGGTATGGCTGCCTTGCCCACACCGAGGGCTCCACTCCTGGCCCCACTCTGGGGACTGTGGGCAGTTTTATGATGCGGGGGTACTGTGGTTCTCAGCCTACAGCCCTTAAAACGCATTCCAAAGGCACTATATCTGGTACATAGAGCTTTGTTTTGCATAATCTGCCTGGTAGGTAAAAGCAGCAACCATGCTGTTAAATCTAACCCTGCCTTACATCCTTTCTCCCATCTCAGCAGAGTCCCAAGACCCCCTTCTCCGACCTGGCTGATGATGAGAAGATTTTTAATGGAGGAGATGGCATGTGGCAGAACCAGAGTCAGGATCAAGCCCTGCTCTCGGAAATCACAGAAGAGGACCTGGAGGCCATCCGTCTGCGGGAAGAAGCCATTCAGCAGATTGAGGTCAGTAGCCTTCACTACCAGCTGGCTTGGAAGTGGGAGTGGTCATTAGTTTAGCCACACGGTAGACACTCTGAAGAGAAGACGACATTGGTTTTATATTCTTGGTGTTGTGACACCTCCATTAGGTTTTGGGAGCATTGTCAGGTGTATATTACAGTGGGAACATGTAGAGCAAGGAAGAATTACAGTGCCGTATAGTCACTGGTGAAAGTTAAAGGAATTACTGTTTAGGATTAAATGTTTAAGCATATAGTTTGTCTCATCGTCTATCGCACTGCAGAGTCTTTGGGCTCAGTGCTGCAGTGCTGGTTCAGGCAGAGCTCTCTTGTGATCAGTGATAGCTTTGTGTGCATACAGATCAGAGGATCAGACCCAGTGGGTGAGAGACATGGAACAGATGCAGTTTACTGGCATTCTTTCTGCTGTTGGCTGGTTGTCATACAGCTTATATACAGTAACTCCTCGCTTAACGTCGTACTTACGTTCCTGAAAAATGCGACTTCAAGTGACATGACGTTACGCGAATCCAATTTCCCCATAAGAATTAATATAAATGGGGGGTTAGGTTCCAGGGCATTTTTTTTGCCAGACAAAAGACTATATATATAGTATAAGTTTTATATACAGTATACACAGTATAAGTTTTAAACAATTTAATACTGTACACAGCAATGATGATTGTGAAGCTTGGTTGAGGTGGTGGAATCAGAGGGTGGGATATTTCCCAGGGAATGCCTTACCGCTAAATGATGAACTAGCCCTCGACTCAGCCCTCAAGGGTTAACACATTGTTAATGTAGCCTCACACTCTGCAAGGCAGCACACATGGAGGGAGGAGACACAATAGACGCATGGCAGTGGCTGCAAACATTCCCTGCGGAAACTGAACGTGATGATGAACCCATGCTATCCCAGTGGAGCGCACCACTCCCGCCACTTTCCAAAGTGTAGGGGTGGGGGTGGTGTTGCATGTGTGTGTGAGATATCCAGTGAGTGTGTGTGTGAGAGAGAGAGAGACAGAGACAAAGTCACACACACGGTGTGTGTCTGACAGAGAGAGATAGACACACACCGTGTGTGAGAGAGAAGCGCATTGCCTCTTTAAGTATGCTGATCCTACTCTAAGTACACTGCCTTTTTAAGTAGATCAGCAAGTTGAGATAGCAGCTGCTGCCAGGAAACTCCCTCCATCCTGAGCCCTGTCCTATCCCCTCCTGCTCTGTGGAGATGGGGTACAGGAGCGGGGGGGGAGGAACAGGGAGAGGGGGACACCCAGACATCAGCACTCCTCTTCCCCCTCCCTCCACAGCAAGCAGGAGGCTCGGGGAGCAGCTCCAAGGCAGAGGGCAGGAGCAGCACACGGCAGTGGCGGGAGGGACAGCTGAACTGCCCGGAAATTGATAGTCTGCTGGGCGGGTGCCGCACAGGGAACTTAGGGGAGCGGGGAGCTGATGGGGGGGCTGCCGGCCCACCCTGGTTCCAAGCCCCCACCAGCCTGCTGCAACGGGCTGCTCTTCCTGCCAGCAGTAGACAAAGCAGGCAGCTGCCAAAGAACGTTATAAGGGAGCATTGCGCAACTTTAAACGAGCATGTTCCCTAATTGATCAGCGACATAACAACAAAACCTCACTTAGCATCGTCCTAGTTAAGGTTGAGTTACTGTACCCAGATATGTTGTTGGATGCTAGGTTGAACAATCCACCTTACTCTATACATACACCTACTTCCTGCTTCCTCTATTTCCATCAGCAGTCAATGCCTAATACCAGTGATCATGCAAAATAAAATACTGTAACCCTCCTACCTTAATAATTAAATATTTTGCTCTTTTATATAAGAATCTGTCGGTTCTTAACGTAGTAATGGTGAAGGAAAGGAATCAAATTACAATATTCCAGGCTTATTTTTTACTAAAAGGCAGCACAAAGGTTTATAAATATAACATCAAAAAGCGCCAAAAGCTTTTTTTTTTTTTTTTAGAGATATGACTGAGTCATGTATACATTTTTTTCTTTTAAAAAAATCAGTTTTCACTTTTGGAATACTCAGTTGCTTGAATTTAACCGATAAATGAATGAGAACAGAGAACATTTCCACTCACAAACTTACGCACGCTTAAACTAAGGATGAACCTAAAGATAGGATTTCAGAATAAATCAGAACATTTGATTAAGAAATACATGTTATTCTCTAATTGAATTCAGCTACTTTTATCAGAATGAATTTGGATATTAGCATGTCAAAAAGTGTGATGCAAATCAACAGTGCAAGAAGAGGACAAAAGTTCAAACTGTGATCCAGTACACTGCATCTTTGAGAAGGGAATATATGCTGCTTTTAAATAGAGATAAGAATTAGATATGATTCAGTGTTTAAAATGGGAGACTTATTTTGTCTTCTAGGGGTATATCTCCCTTTATGCACACCTTGCCTCGGCTCAGGTTGGTTGAATGGTGGTGCTGATATCCAAGATACAGAAAGTCATTGAATATTTTTGTTCCCTGAGGTGAAACTGTAAAAGGTTATCCTCCATTTTAGCATCTGTACCTGTCTGTGAGTGTGAGTTTGACAGCAATATCCAGTGAAAACCTCTGCTGGAATCTCTCGTGGCTGAGCCTCCTGCAGAGCCATCTATAATGTGGTTCACTGCAGTATGTTGCATATATTTGTACCTTGGGATGTTGCTGCTCTTAAGTATACTTAAGTGTTTATTTTAGGTTGTACTGGTAAAACCATCTTGGGTATTGTATACAAGTAAACGCAAATTAAAATATCCCCAGTCCAGTGACCTGGATATTCCTTCTGTATGTACAATTTACAATAATAGTATTGATGAACTGAAGGGATAAAAATGATCCAGGATGGACTCACCTGAACAAGATAAATTTACAATGTCTTGAAAATAGTACAATCCTAAAAAGATGCTTACAGATGTCCTAAAAGCACTTTTTTACAGAAGGTAGTCAACAAAGTGAAAAGGCCCAGCCTTCCTATCAAGATGTAACATTTAGAAAGAGACCAAGGACAGTCTGGCTGATTGCAGCTGCCCTGTTGGGGTAGAGGATATAGAGATTCATGCGGGCATTTGGGGCGTATGTCAATATTAATTTCACAGGTGCTGTACGAATACTTTGCACTCTGCTTTCTCCTGTGTTTCAGTCCTGGAAAGCATGGCTTCTTTTTTTTGGAGGGTGGAGGGGACGTTTGATATCTAAGAAGCATGGATGTAATGGTATTTTCCCAGAAAGTGGTAGAGATGGGTCATATTCTTGAGACATTATTGAGAGAATGTAGCAGCTTCCTTTCCCTATACATGTTCCTACCGTCTCCTGCCTGGCACAGAAGACATTGTCTCTTCCCTGTAACTGAAAATGCTAGATGAAAGCTTCCTGTGCTGAGCAGATGGAAGATGCCCAGCAGGCATGGAAGACTTCACTCCAGGTGCTACAAGGTTGTTAAAAGTACACAGACATAATGCACCTTTATTTTAAAATAAGATTTTTATTGATTTTGTAGGCTTTCCAAGTGTGACTCCCACCTAATGTTAATTCCCCATTAGCTAAGTGTTCGATAATTCACTCAGCCACTTTGCATATGGTGACAGGGATTCAGGTTTCTGTTTCTTAAGAATCTGTTTTTCCACTGACATCACAACCGAAACCCACTTTGCATTGATAACTGGTACTGTACATTCATTCAATGACCTTGCAAGGGCTACACAACATACGCATTCTTGCATACAGAGCTTCAGTGATTCTTTAATTAATAGGAAGAGGGTGACATATAAGAAAATTAGCATCGTGTATTATGTCTCTCCATCATTATGCTGCATTAAGCAGATATTAAGCAATCCTTCAACCTATTTTAAAAGAAATGTGATGAGAAGGATATGGACATTTTGAATTGTGCCTGTGGCAAATTGCTGGCACTACTCTGATGGGTCTCGCGCTTTCTCTTCTTGGGGCAGGGGTGGGGGGGTGTTCAGGGCACCGTTTCTTGCCCCTGAACTGGGGTATTAACTGCCCCACTAGTATCATAGAGGAGGGGAGTGGAGAGGGAGGAACCCGGGCCCGCTCGCTACTCTGGGTCCCAGCCCAGGGGCCCTAGGGATAGCGGTAAACCACTAGAACTAGCGGTTCCTTCCCCTGGGCTACTTCCCTCTCCTGCCCTTCAGCTTGTGGGGCTTCCTGCCCTCCCTTTGCACAAACCAGGTGTCCCTTTACCTAGGGTCTTGGTCTTCTTAGCCCACCACAGCACTTCTTCAAACTCTCCTCTGCTTCCCTCCAAACCGCTCTCTGCTCCAACGCCGATCCACTCTGCTTCAACTCCTCCAAACCACTCTCTGCTCCAACACCAATCCACTCTGCTTCAACTCCTCCAAACCGCTCTCTGCTCCAACGCCAATCCACTCTGCTTCAACTCCTCCAAACGGCTCTCTGCTCCAACAGCAATCCGCTCTGCTTCAACTCCTCCAAACCGTTCTCTGCTCCAACGCCAATCCGCTCTGCTTCAACTCCTCCAAACCACTCTCTGCTCCAACACCAATCCACTCTGCTTCAACTCCTCCAAACTGTTCTCTGCTCCAACGCCAATCCACTCTGCTTCAACTCCTCCAAACGGCTCTCTGCTCCAACACCGATCCGCTCTGCTTCAACTCCTCCAAACGGCTCTCTGCTCCAACACCGATCCGCTCTGCTTCAACTCCTCCAAACCGCTCTCTGCTCCAACATCGATCCGCTCTGCTTCAACTCCTCCAAACCGCTCTCTGCTCCAACACCGATCCGCTCTGCTTCAACTCCTCCAAACCGCTCTCTGCTCCAACACCGATCCGCTCTGCTTCAACTCCTCCAAACCGCTCTCTGCTCCAACACCGATCCGCTCTGCTCCAACGCCGATCCGCTCTGCTTCAACTCCACCAAACCGCTCTCTGCTCCAACACTGATCCGCTCTGCTTCAACTCCTCCAAACCGCTCTCTGCTCCAACACCGATCCGCTCTGCT